CACCCCTGTGTGTTATATCGACCCACTTGCATCATTTTTAATCTTCTGCCTTACAACTCCCCCTGTTCAGAACCTCTTGCGTACAAGGCCGCCCATGTGGATGTGGGTTGAGCGGCGGCTGGCCCCACCCCTGTGTGTCATATCGACCCACTTGCACACAGCCAAAAGGCAAAGAGGCAAAGAAAAGAGGAAGGGGACAGCCAAATAATACAGAACAGGGGGCAACAAAACAGATCCCAGATGACAAGTCCCACATGCAAGCACCACCCCTGCCCACAGGCCAAACGACGGGGCAAGACCAAAGCCAAAGGATGTCATTCTTGTCTGCCAAAAAAATAAAAAAGAACCCGGAGGACAGGTATAAAAAACAATCCTGGATGATGATTCCCACATGCAAGCACCGCCCCGCTTTCCAAAAGGCCGAACAACGGGAAACAACCAACGAGGATGCCAAAACAATAAAAAAGCCTGGATGACTGGTCCCACATGAAGCACCGCTACCTGCTTAGACCGAATAACGGGACAAAACCAATCGGGATGCAGACAAGATTACCAAAATACCCCAACAACGGGTATATATCGTAACAACGGGTATATATATATATGTTCTATTTGACGATACAGCCCCTCGTTTGTTGTCCTCTTCTCCCTCTCTGCCTACGGTTTACCGGGCAGTTCTATTTGACGATATATATATATATATATATGGGCAGTATATATAGAATATACATTTTTCTAATTCGCCTTTCTATCCTTTTTCTTTTGCTTTGCTCTTCCCCATTGTTGGGGTATTTCGTTTTACGGACCTACTGTATGGTTTTTTTCAAGTGTTGGTTATAGTAGATGGTATTTTTGGTACTCTTTGTCGGCATCCCGGGTTGTTTTTGTCTCGTTGTTTGGTCCATGTGGCGGTGGTTTCATGTGGGACTTGTCATCCGGGTTTTTCTTTTTGGCATCCTAGTTGGCTGGTTCCCGTTGTTTGGCCTATCGAAGGGGGCGGTGCTTTTAGGTGGGAATCGTCATCTGGGATTGTCTTTATATAGTTTTTTTTGCAGGCAAGGGTGTTGATTGCTATCCTGGTTGGTCATTGTCCCGTCGTTTGGCCTGTGAAGTAGGGAGTGGTGCTTGCATGTGGGACTTGTCGTCTAGGATCTGCTATGTTTGTTTTTTGGCACCCTTGTCTGCATCCCGGTTGGTTTTGTCCCGTTGTTTGGTCTATTTTGGCGAGCATAGCGGTGCTTTCATGTGGGACCAGTCATCCGTTTTTTTTTGTTGTTCGGCCTATGAGAGCATGAATGGTTTAGGAAAGGGAATACGGACGTCTTGATGGCGAACAAGGCTATCTGCTGCATAGTTTTTTTTGCAGACAAGAGTTTTGTCCTGGGTGGTCTTGTCCCGTCGTTTGGCCTGTGAAAGAGGGGCGGTGCTTGCATGTGGGACTTGTCATCTAGGATCAGTTTTTGGTGCTGTTGCTTGTTGCCCCCTGTTTTGTTTGGTTGTATTTGGCTGCTCCCTTCCTCTTTTCTTTGCCTTTTTGCCCTTTGGCTGTGTGCAAGTGGGTCGATATGACACACGGGGGTGGGGGCAGCCGCCGCTCAACCTACATCCACGTGGGCGGCCTTGTACGCAAGAGGTTCTGAACAGGGGGAGTTGTAAGGAAGAAGACAAAAAAATGAATTTATTTTTCTTTGTTTTTCTGTTTTTTAAGCTACAGCTTGTATTCATTCAGTCATTTCATTTCGGTTGAATTCTTGGACCTTCTTTCTAAACATTGTTACTTTTTTTATTCAGTCTTTTAGGTGAATGTGTAAGCACCCCAGATAATGGATCCGCCCCAGATAAACTATGACGTAAATGATTTACCCGCTGTAATGGAATTATATTGTACGGAACTTAAAACTTGAAACTATTGGAATACCCATGGAAGACAACACGTTCGGCAATTCTGGCCTTCGTCAGGAATTGTAAAGACGACTCGCTATTTTCTGGAAGTGGAAGACAAAAAATTGGTAAAAGCAAAAAGAAATTAGCACACGAAATAGTAAATACGAGTTCGAGAGTCCATGAAGAGATAAATCAACAGCTGACCTTCTACCGAACAAATTTCAACAATGAACCAACAACTGAAGACCCGAGGAAGAAAACGAGTTCGGCAACAGTTCGAGAGTCCATGAAGTCCTCAATGAACCAACAACTGAAGACCCGAGGAAGAAAACGAGTTCGGCAACGTCTCTCCGAAATAAAAACGGATGAAAATGAAAGGGACTTGGCAGTATAAAACCATTTCGAAAGTTGGAAGAAAGATAAAAGCAAGAAGGGATGTTAGGCCGGACAAAATAATTGCAACTTACAGATATAAGAGCATATGGCCACCACGCAGTCACAAGAAAAATGGAAGGATTATACTTGACGAGAAACGGTTCTGACCAAAGTGCAATCGTTTTTTGATCTCATGATACTCCATCGGAGGCTAGGCTACCAGCCGGCCGCGCGGGTCACCCTATTTTCCCCGGACGGCCCGGCCGTGCAAGGCCCAGGGAAGGTCCTAGCAAAAGAACTAAAAAAAAAAATAAAAAAAATCCGAAAAAAAAACATGTTATGCAGAAAAATAAACTGAACAACTTTTGCTTTTACCAAATTGAAAATAAAAATTGAAGTTAAAAAAATTATTTTTATCTTTTTATTTGTTTATGTTTTTTTGGCCCGTTGGTAACTGGCCCTGGGCTGCTCTGGTAGCCTAGATCGGAGGACTTGAGACGACACAGCACTCGGATAGTTGCAACAGGTAAAAACAAGAATAAAGCGAAAATTCCAAATTCCAAATACATATTTCACGAATTTCACGAACGAGGACAGAAGGTCAGTACGAGGGAAGGAAGGAATCCAGTGCAGTACCTGGATGCTGCATTGTATGCAAAGGCACAGAGTGCCACAGACCTTTTTCGGAGATAGAATTTTCGACGTATCGCGACCAGAGGGACATCGGGACGGCAGAAGTCATCAGCGGCAACGAATCGTTGACATGAGGAGACTGCAGGGACTAGGGTTCAGCCGGACGGTGAAGTATTTGGACTGAAGGTCTATACATACTGTTGATAATGGCTTGAAAGATTACCTGAGCAGAGAGGTAGAAGGGTAAAGCGACTGTTTTGGTCGCATGCCATGGACAGGATGTGTATTCTGTGAAAGTCAAGCCTTGCACGTGTTGTCCAATATTGCGACTCTCTCTCTCTCTCTCTCTCTCTCTCTCTCTCTCTCTCTCTCTCTCTCTCTCTCTCTCTCTCTCGCGCGCGCGCGCTTGGCGCCCTCCCTCCCTCCCTCTTTGCCTCTCTTTCTTTTTCTCTTTGTCGTAATCTCCCTCAAGCTCAAGCTCAATCTCCGTTCCTCTTTTGTGGCTGCTGCTTTCTCTCCTACTTGGTTTACAAGCAGCTGTGAGTATCCAGTTACTGTCTGGTGTCTGATGATCTGTAAAATTTCTCTCTTCGTCTCTCACTTTTTCTCTTTGTTGAATCTCACTCAATCTCAATTTGCATCCCTCTTTTGTGGCTGTTGCTCTCTCTCTCTCTCTCTCTCTCTCTCTCTCTCTCTCTCTCTCTCTCTCTCTCTCTCTCTCTCTCTCTCTCTCNCTCTCTCTCTCTCTCTCTCTCTCTCTCTCTCTCTCTCTCTCTCTCTCTCTCTCTCTCTCTCTCTCTCTCTCTCTCTCTCTCTCTCCCCTTCCCTTCCCTGCTTTCCCCCCCCCTCTTGCCTCTGGCTCCCCCCTTTTGCGAATGCTATGGCTGTCTATTGATGATCTTTCTGTAAGGGAGTTACATGCACAGCTGGTCGTTTTTAGGTCGAGCAAGGTGATGGTTTGGTTCAGTTTAAGAAGCAGCAGAGTCCAGGAATGACTCCTGAAGTCGTTCTATAGTGAATGGGTGCTCCAATACCTTGGATTTCTCAGCTTGTGTTGGATCTAACAATCTCCTGATTTGCAAGCCTTTTGTTTTGTCCGCAGTGCACACAGAGGTCCTCATCATCCGATCATGAACGTACATGAGCGGAGCTTGAGCGTGCTTTCTTGCAGATATGTTGACGAGGTCAGTATGCAGCCCCCGGCCTGGGATTGGTATGTGTTTTGGCCCCTGGAGAGTTTCATAGGAGCTGTCTTATTGACTTGCATAACAGCAGTAACCTCACTGAGCATCCATCTTTTGTACCTTCTCAAGCATTAGCATTTTGCTAAGAAGCACCGCATGGAGCGTCTGGCTGATGTTCATCTTTTGCAGTTTCTAGTTGTTATCTGGGTATCATAAATGAGATTTGCTGGAGGAAAAGGAACTGGGCTGCTTCCCAGAAATGTAAGGTGCTGGAAACGTAAGGCCCTTTTTTTTGCATTGAGAGAACAACCAAAAAAACCTGGTGGTCATCATCCTTTCCAGCGATGTTATGAGGCAGGGCGTGCGGGCTGGCCGCGGCTATGTGCATGCCCAGTTAGAAAGGCACAGGGCAGCCCCAACCCCTCTTCCCCGGGACCAGCTTGCAAGCCCATCAGTATACAGCCGGGCTGTCACGTACTCTACTCGCCAGCTGTCCAACCCAATGGCCCAGTTCCTTAACTGTGTCGCCTGGGTAAATGGGCTCCCATGTGTACCTGCTGCATCGGCAGGAACACCCAGGCCTGCCTAGAATGGACGAGGCCTGGACCAGGCACCACAGAAAAAAACAAAGGATCCAGCCCTTCCGGTGAAGTCTTGCATGCGACCAAAATGTGTCTGAGTGCCTTGTCGGAACAGGTTTTGAACTCGTGTCCTGTTTTTTAACAGTTACATGTGTGTACCGTTCAGCCTCATGGGCTGTGTACCATTCAACCACGTCTGCCTGTTTGGAGATCAGAAGTCTGAAAGGACGCTTTACCAGAACAGACAAAATTGGAACAGAGATGAGATGAGAAGAGAGGAGAAATCTGAGCACAAGGACGAAATGCAGACTGCATGAAAAATACAATAAAACTGATCAGAAGCGATAAAAAAGCTCATATTGCCTGAAAGAATGAAGCAAGGGCCAGAAAACACACTACGAGTCTATGGCCCAATCAGCACCTGGAAATGGGTTGCACGGTCATTGGGCGGCTGGAATCCAGACGTGTTGCATGTCACAGTTCATGCCATCTCTCTGTGCACTTGTGAAAGAGAAAAAGCATTTGATTAAAGGTCTCAGTTCATCCTCGCGGAGGGCATATGTGAACTTGGACATTTTTGCATGTGTCTGGCTGTAATTACGGCCAAGATGCTGTGAAAACACTGAAAAGAAGATTCCCAACTGTGAGGTTCCTCTGAGTACATCTGTGCTCTGTCATAGTACTTTTGGAAGTTTCTCTTTTGAGCTTTTCATTGTTGCTCTGTAAATACGGGAACCGGGATGTGTCATTCTTGATGTAGCTTTGTGCCTCTGCGGAGACTTAGGTTTGCCTGCCAAGAGATCTACCAGTAAAGTGACCGACCTATGATTAACAGTGTCTGGGGGGTGTGAACCTACAGTCCACTGACGGTGGGCAGATATGTGTTCCTGACGGCAAGTCCGTGGTGGTTTTTGCTAACATGCAAAATGCTTTATCGATTTGTGTCCCAGGTGATCATCGGAGCTCCATGGGAAGTCACAAAGGATCTGGTAAATGTCAAATCTGCGATTCTGTGGTGATGTATGCGAATTTGCAAAACCAATCTAAAAATGTTTGTGCTCGCGAACAACTGTTTGTTTGCCAGTGTTTGTTGAAGGAATTGCGATCTAATGTCGTGGTCTGCGGAATAGTACATGCTCGCTTACGACTCCCTTGTGCACCACACCATGGAACAATCTTCAGGAGAGATCTGATGTGATGTGGGGCATACGGTTATAACAAAGGAATATGAACTGAAGCAAATTTTGACTGCACCCTGGTCTTTGCACCCCTTTCTTTGCCAAGGCATCAGTTTGACCGTGGGTTCTATCGGAGTCCTGTAGACCCTTGTGGTGGTCCCGTACACCCTTTTCTATTCGCACTCCCTAGACACCTACCCATCTGGAAGCATTCCAGGACATAGTGGATACAGGGTGGATATCCCACCTTCAAACGAAATGGATATTATAAAATTGATAACCTCACCCAGTCTCCCATGGAGGACACTGGCTGTTGAGGGAATCCATCACCTGCCGATTTACAACACACCATCGAACATGGAAGGCTTTTTTTTTTTTTTTATACATGGGAAGGCTCCTTTTGGTTAACGAGTAAATCTTGGTCAATGGAAGCCAGATAAACGATCACACCAAAATTCCACCAAAGGGGAAGCAAGACTAATCTTCTGGAGGAATATCATCAAATCTTGGAGAGAAATCTTCCCTTCCCAGCCAAGATAAGAAGACCACATAGCATCCCTCTGAGAGAAATCCTCAGACAGCTGTTATTCTGCAACCCTTGGATATTCGAAGAAGAAGACAAGCCCTTTACCTTAACCACAAAGGACGCAAGATGGGGAGCTTGGCTAGAAAAAAGGAATATGGCAAGTGAAACATCTATGGGATGACAGCAGGAAAGATGGAGAGACGTCAAGCAACTTAGATAAGGGATGTAATTGATTAGCAAACAACCTTGGCCAGATAACGTCCAACATCCCCTCTGCAATGGATCCCAATTCTAAAAAACAATAGGCAGTGGACCGAGGGAGAAGACTTAAAAAACAATAGGCAGTGGACCGAGGGAGAAGACTGGGCTGTAATGACCCACCCAACTTCCTTAGAATATGCATTATCTTAATAAGGAAAGGATAGAGGGTAAGGACAACTGGATGACGTCACGTTTATTATGCATACAATAGAAGACCCTTATAAAGACCACTATAGTAGGGTTAGCAAAAACAGTTATCTTCTAATTTGCAATCAATATACTAAAAGATTAAATAGGACAGGTCTCAGTAAGAGAGGACAGTCTAAGAAACGTCAGAATGGTAGAAGACGATGAGCTAACCCTACACAACCCCCAAATAGCTCTTGAGAACCTGGAGATAGATAGACCCTGCAGAATGGACATGGAATCAGAAACAAAGACCCACGGGAATTGATCAGAAATTCGACATCCTAAGATACACTACAAACATGGATATACTTTAAGAAGACGGTCAGCAAATCCCGCAAATCCCGACCCAGTGATAATGGAGGGGAGATGATGGAAACACTATAAGTAGACCCAGAAAATCTGAATCAGATCCCATGGAGCCAAGTAACCATAATCCACCCCCTGAAATTCGAGGAGTCTCCAATGGATTATTCTCGACCTCGCTGTCCCACTAGACCAATGGCTAAATGTGAGAACAAGAAAAGAAGACAGAAGCGCACATAAAGAACTCTGGTCCACTTGTAAAGAAGGCCACACAGAAGGTCTCTATCACTGTTTCTTTAAATGCCCTACAATCCAACCTTTATGGCAGAGAATCGAGAATATTTGGGAGAAAATAATCACCGGAGAATTCACTAATAAGACCTCGTACTACTATTGCTAGGCTTCAGCATGCCCGAAAACTGGGCAAGCTTAGAAAACAATCTTTTTCAAGTCCTGAGGAAGGCTTCCCTATGGACCATCTGGAGGAAGAGATGTCAGTATACAATCGACAAACGGTCTATGCACACACAGGAAGCTTAGGGTATATTACAACAGCAGGTTGGAACAGACTGCTGGGTACCATGGCGCAAAGTGAGAAGGAAAATGAAGAAAGAAGAGGGCAAAGCTCAAGAACATAAAAACAATTTCGAATCCAACTATCGAGGAAAATGAAGAAAGAATAAAATGAAAACAATTTCGAATTCAACTATCTCGCAAAAGGCAAAATAGCAAGGATCAAAGGGCACAGTCTGATCTTCACACTATGGGAAGGAGGCACAAGTACACCCCAAGCGGACTCTCACTCTCTAGTCAGCATCCCTGAATCGTTTAACATTCATATGGATTCCTCTTAAGAGAAGCATACGAAAAGAACTGACCCGGTAGAACACAGACCACGGAGTTAACTAAGCCAAAGAGTAGAAGCACACAGTAGCGGAGAACCCCAGAAAGCGTAGATAGGGTAAAGGTTCCCAGGTAAGTTACGATGTAACAAGATTTTCATCAAGGATCTTTTGAAAAACATAAAGTCTTGACTTCAGGTCCCAGTATACAAAGACACAAAAGGAGGGCCAGGGTTTAGGGTTTAACTACGTATACAGACCAAGGATAACCGAAACCGAAAGACTTAGTATAGGTAGTGTCAAATCTCCCGGAAAAGAGGAAAGTTAATTAAAAACGCGGCCGTCAGCAGGGTTTCATCAGAAGCCAGGAGACTGTGGTTTGGAGGCATTCCATGACAAAATTCCAAACTGGCAGTTCCAGCAAAGGGAAGAGAATCCGACAGTCGAAGTACTGAGAGGAACAGGCAGGAAGGTTTGGACCCAAGAAAACTAGGGTGTGGGCATTATAGAAAGAGAGCTACCAGGACAATTTTCAACAATAGCAACCAGCCTCTACAGGCTGACGTAGGCAAAAGTGAAGTGAAGAAGGAAAAAGGATAGATATAGGGGAGAAACTATACATGGGAACAGATGACAGACAAAAGTGCTATCGAGAGAGGCTTTTTAAGGGTTTTAGCACCAAACATAGGTCAAGAGAAGATTCCCAATTGTACAGGCTAACTTACGCAGGGGTGAATTGTGGTATATCCTTCCTGCGGGAAGTAATCAATGCTGTCCTTTGGACCTCCACACCTTAAGCGGGAGGGGCGTGAGTGAGTGATTATTGTTCGCAGCCCGTCAGGGGTGCGTTTTATGCCCCTGAGAACATTTTTCGTCGTCGTTCGTTATACGGTCGTTGGAAGGCGGGAAAAACAAGGCATGGCAGTTTAGGGGCTGGTGGCATCTTATTTGAAACTGCAGGACCGGTAGCTGCCCGTGGGACCGCACGGGTTTTGGTCCAGGACCGCGTAGGACCGGTAGCTGCGCATAGGAGGCCGAGGAGGCCGCAGTCCTTTTTCAAAATTGAAACGGTGCGGGTCCACTTTTCTCGAATAGCAGAGTTCCTGTTCCTCGAATAGAAAACGCACACGTTGTATTCGAATACGACCTTGTACCCTTTCTACTCGGATTTCAAAAAGAAAAAACTCTTTTGTATTCCGATAAAATTACTTCTTTTACGCCCTTCTTTGTCTCTGAGTACCTAGGTATCCACCGTAAGCCCTTCCTTATTTGAACCTATTACCTTCCTTCCGGACTCCAAAAACATTGTAATTAGAATAGATTCAAAAAATCCATTCCATTGTTTATTGAGAATGTATATATAATTATAATTAGAATTATATTATATCTATATCTATTTGACGATATATATAGATAATACATTCTCAATAATAGACATAAAATAAATACACATAAAATAGAATATTACATCAACATCTTGAGTTCAACGTCCCTTTTTCGATTTTCGGAGTTTAGTACCCAGTTGATCTGAAAAAAAAGAATATATTAGATTTATATACATATGTATATAATACATATGTATTATATAVATGTATATATACAAGATATACTCTATATTCTATTGTAAATTCATCATTACTGATCAAAATCAATATTGTACAAAAAAGAGAAAAAATGGAGATTAAATAGAATATTTCTTTATTGTCTCGAGCCGTATGAAATCAAAGTTTCATGTACGGTTCTGTAGTAGAGATAAAAATTATATCTTTTTATCAACTATAATTATGTAATACTTTGAGTACTTCTGAGATTGTTGAACAACAGTGTCAATATGGGATTTTCAGCTGGAATATATGGCGTCAGCCAGTTGGCCCTATCGATTATTCTTTATTAACTTTAACATTAAAATATCAAAGACGAGCACGTGAACCATATATAACTACTTTAAGACGGATTAGCAAACCTGGTTTGAGTTACTCTAGCTATCAAGATATACCTCGAGGGTTCAAGTCCCTCTCTTTCCGTTTTTTCTATTGCTCTTACCTACCAAACCAGCTAATCTTAAAGGATGCGTGCGAGCTTTTTCTCGCACTGAGGCAGCAATCCTATTTGCGGCAAATAGTGCATCGAATCCATTGTCAGTAATTATTATGCAATAATCTGCGTAATTAAGTGGTGCTGCAAATCCTCCGCGACTAAAATCTGCTTGCTTTTGGTTCATTTTATGCCTCTAATTAGCGACGAGATTTTTTATCATTTTTAGCATGGCCTCGAAAAGTACGGGTAGCTGAGAATTCTCCTAATTTATGTCCTACCATTTGGTCAGTAATAAAAATAGGTATAAAATAGGAAATATGAATTACAATTTACAATAATTTAAGATAATTAATAATTTAACATTATATATCGTCAAATAGCTATATATATATATATATAATTCTTTAAACGAGATTATTATTCATTATTCAATATGGATTAAGAAGAATGAGAAAAAGGTTGTTAAGTTCAGCTTTTATGGACGTGGGTTGACATCACTTTTACATTCTCTTGGAGGTGTTGCTGGCCATGCATTAAGGGATGGGCAGGGCTGTTTTTGCATATGTTGGACTGCCAATTCATGGCAGCTTTTGTACTGCATGTGTGCAAATAGGGAATAAAGTGGAGGAGGGCCCATTACTAGTTAAACTTGCGGTCGGCCCATGACTAGTTAAGAGAATACTCACACGGGAAGTGTCTCGAGACACCTCCAAGAGAATGTAAAAGTGATGTCAACCCAGGTCCATAAAAGCTGAACTTGTTGCTACAGAGCCAATCCCGCACGTGGCCAGAAGAAAACCGATTTGCCCCTAATCCATATTTATGGTCTGGATATCTCACAGCGAGTATGACCTGAGCGGATTCCTGACCGAGGAGGCCCTTCATACATGGAAGGGGTTGGAAAATAATGCGCAATGAACTTGATGAGACTCGTGAGAGTGAATATAGTGGAATTACGAAGCAGTGTTTTATTTTTATTGTATCGGCAGTTGCTTTCGATCTGATGATCAAAATACATCAAATAAATAAAAATTATAAAATCATATTAGAATGCGCATATCAAAATTTGAAACTTGTCGACGAATCTTGGAAAATGTTTGGCAAACAAAAAAACTTCAAACTCAAAAAGAAAAAGAAAAAAAAAATTGAGGGCTTGAAAAAAAAGCAAACAAGGCTGGTGAATTTTCAGTGAGCGATTGTTTAATAAAGAAGCATTAAATAGTAGATAGTAAACTACAATAAACATATTAGACAACATGATATGACTTCAGTACTTTAATTTGGCAAAATGGTATGGGGGGGCGTTTGTCATGATCGCTTCGCCCCCCTTTCTGATTTGCATGATTGTGTCTTTGACGGAAAACCATTGAAATGTGAAAACAAGGTTGTCACTGTGGAATTCTATCCCAGTGGGATATTTTTGCTGGGCTTGACTTGTGAGCAGCTGCATCAGCTGGCAGGACGAGGACGACTTATGGGTAGATCGGAGGGGTAGATCTGACGGGTAGAGAGAGCAAGAGCACAATGTTTCATGGTGCCTTTGGGCCTACTTGAGCTTCCAGCTTTCTCGTCTTGTGATGTCGTGGTTGGGTGCAGTCAATCAATCCTCTTGACCGCTGTTTGCGTGGTTTCTGTGTGCAGATCACGACTTTCAATATCTCTCTGGTGGTGAGGGGCACTGTGGCAGAAACATGCAGCTTTGTCAATGTGAGTTTCTCTTCCTTTAGCACCGGTCGCCTGGCGGAGAGCAGTCACGCAGCCGTAACTTCAGAGTTCATACCAGTCCAATGTTCAAACCTTGCGCCGGAATCAAAATTTCAACTCAGTCATCTGGTGCAATGAACTTCCCAGGCCTTTAGGGTCATGATGAGGGCACGGTTGAAAGTTATGGGTCGACTCGTCGTCGAGTTGAAGTAAAAATGACTTTGAGTTTCTGAATTAAGTGGGCCTGTTCAGTTGGGTGATGATACCTCAAGGCTGTTTAATGGAGAAATTAAGAAAAGCAACGTTGTTTCTTTTTTTTTTTCGCCGGGTTTTAGTGTATCAGACTTTAATTCTAGGGAGATGTCCTGGGCGCCCGGGTCCCGACGTCACGCCCGGTTTGGCGGGTGACCGGCCGGGCATGACCCCCCAGGCATGGGCCCTGGCAGACCCAGCGCCAAAAAAAAAAAAGAACCCTCCTAGAGAATAGAGCCCAGCCGCTACTACCACATGGATCGTAAAAAAAAAAAAAAAAAAAAAAAAAAATGATAAAAATCTGAGAAAAAAAATGTTGAGTAGGCGAGTGGTTGATTGGGGGACTTGTTTATGCGGCCGTATCGTAGTAGGGCTACTCATTGGATGCGCAAAGAGGGCCTCTTCTTTGTCAAGAGACCTCAGTGTTCAGTGTGTTCTTACTTGGTGTGCTCTCGGCTTTTGTGATTTGTAATTCTGCCTTCAACTCGGCTCACTCGTGCTTGGTCTTCTTTATGAGCTTTTGCTTCTTAAAAAAAATTATGTTCTGAGTCTCTCATTGGATGGTTGTTTGCACTTTGGCTGAATGGTACACACCTGTAGCTCCAGATAAATAAGCAAATCATCTAAGTCCTGAAGCAGTCAGAGCAATGTAATCATCTTTAGCGGTTTGCCGGGTTGAAAGAAGAATTGCAAAAGTGGAGATCCTGCAATGTTATGTCGGCGGAATGGGAGTACAGCCGGACAATGTGCATTGGTTGTGGTGTAAAAAAAAAAAAAAAAAAAAAAAAAAGTGGAGATCCCGTTCCCTGCAAGGTCTTGTGCCAGTATGCCAGTTGGAAGAAGAACCGATAGTCCGATGCTGAACAATTTTTTTTGTCTTCATTTGGTGCGTACTAGCTTGACCTCTCCGCATCTGGGCTCTTGTCTGTTCTCTGTTCATGGCCAGCTCGGTCCCTTGGCTTGTGATGGAATTTCATCACATGAGAGTGACCTGGCGACCAGTGCTGCCTTTGTGTGTTTTTTTTTCCCTTTCCTTTTCAAGTATTTGGTGTGCAAATACTAAGTTAGTTGTCCTGCTGACCTTTTGATTTTTATTCAAACGCGTGTCCATGCCATCACACATCAGTGCTCATTATGTTTTCATTTCGTTTTTTGCTGATTTCTATTTCCTCTGGTGTTTTCTGGTTGTGTGCGTGCACGTCTCTTCGTCTGTGCGACTGTTCGGCTAATGCATGGCAGGGAGAGATTGACCCATACACTGTTCCAAGGGTAAGATTTGCGAAACCTTTGCAGGTTTAAAAAAAATGTTTGCTTGCTTCGTAGAGCCTGTCCAATTTCATCACAATGCCCCGGTGCAAAATATGGTGCTGGATGTCTGCCTGCTGCAGCTGCTCTCTGCAGTCCGTGTCCTTTTTTTTTTTTYTTTTTTTYTTTTTTGGACCATTTCGAGTGCGCAGGGGCCGTGCGAATCTTCTTTCTCTGCATCGTTCCAATTTTAACAGATGTCCCAAAGGACATGCCTGTCCTATTTGTAAAACCATGGGACTCACAGTATTGTATGACAGCAGGAGAAGGGAAAAGAAACGAACATTCGGACGAGATGAAGAAGAAGAGCCATTCTCTGGGTGTGAACGGATGTGTCGGGGGCAATGGGAATCGGAGAATGCTCGCAGCGCTACCAATGATGTGCTGCTTGAAGGTTGTGTGACTTGTGTAAGTTATCTAAACAAACAAGATTTGTAAGCAATATCATTTCTGTTGCGCCAGCTGTAAAACTGCTGAGGGACATCCGTTAAAATTGGAACGATACAGAGAAAGAAGATTAGCATGGCCCCTGCGCAAGTAAGGATGACACACATAAATCGAGAAACGGTCCAAATAAAACTGCTGAGGGACTGCCAATTATTTCCAGCTTGATGCATCGGGGGAGGGAGGGGAGACATGCGCAGGGGTAGGTAGGTGAAAGGAAACCGGAGGTAGGTGTGGGAGGCCTCCCGACTGGGAATCTGCCTCTCATAACCAATTTGTGGCTCGGTTTGCTGTTTTATGAAACTGAACTGTGTGCTCTGTGCTGCAAGAGCCTACCTTTGCATGCGCTGCTCATTTGCTGGTTCTTTTGTTGATGCCCTACTCTCCCCTCCCTCCGTTACAAACAGGCGTTCCTCCATTATATCAATTTATATGTCATCCTCATTGTCTGTCTTTCTTCCCCCCATTATATGTCATCCTCATTGTCTGTCTTTCTTCCCCCCATTATATGTCATCCTCATTGTCTGTCTTTCTTCCCCATGCCTCCCCTCCCTATCATAGATGCAACCGACTCTTTCCCATTCATAGATGATAGACCCAACCAACTCCCTCCCTATTCTAGACCCAACCGACTCCCTCCCTATTGTAGACCCAAGACTCCCAATATGTTATTGTCTATGTTTGTCCCTGATAAATTTTGGTAGCCTGCTCTCTCTTTTCAGAATCTTGGCCCAGTTCCTAATAAATAGCCCTGTGTCTCTTTGCAATGGTTCTGTGAAGTACTGAACCGTGTTCTGTGAATTCTTGTCTGCAATTACCTGCCTTTGGAAAAACCAGTGCTACAATGGAAGCACCCATCTCCCCCCCCCCTTCCGGAGCATTCTCAGCCATCATACTTGTTCCGAAGTGGAGAAGAGACCCTCCCTGTTAAAAACCTACTTTTTTTTTTTTGGGTATGCTAATGGTGTTGCTAATGCGCTTTTTTTAAGTTTTTTAAGTTTTAAGGGTTTTTTTTTTTTTTTTTTTTTTTTTTTTTTTTTTTTTTTTTTTTTTTTTTTTTTTTTTTTTTTTTTTTTTTTTTTTTTTTGGAATGGTAATGGTGTTGGCATTGCAGAATGCGCACTCTTTAATGAGTCTTTATTTATTTTGTGTGCCGGTGAGGATGTCCTGACAGTAAATGTACCTCCTCCTCACAAAATCGGAAAATCCTGATATCTGGACTGCTGCTTTCGCTGTGCACTGCAAATGACACCTTATTTTCCCATCCCACTTCCTTCTTCACACGATGCTTTCCTCTTTGGCGTCTTCGCTTTGCGGGCGGGGCTGCAGTGCACCGTCTTGCACCATCTATATGCAGTTGTGATCGTATCGTCCATCTCGAACTTGGGACGAGAATGACCGGTGGAAGACTGAGAGTCATCAGGCTCCTCAGGTGTCTGTGGTTTGGTGGAAGACTGAGAGTCGTCAGGCTCCTCAGGTGTCTGTGGTTTGGTGGAAGACTGAGTCATCAGGCTCGTCAGGTGTGTGGGGTTTGGTGGAAGACTGAGAGTCATCAGGCTCCTCAGGTGTCTGTGGTTTGGAATTGCTCACCTGAAGCTTGATGTCTGTTTGTCCGTGCATCTGTCGTATGCAGGACATGGGTGTCTTGGAAGTGATAGAGTCCCCGCGGGATATCACCACGTCGACCATCATCAAGCGAATAGTTCTCAACCATGAGGCATATCAGGTGTGGATTCATTCTTCTCAAGCGAATCTTGACATGCCTTTTCTATTCTATTCTATTTTTTTCTATTCTATTCTATTCTATTCTATTCTATTCTATTCTATTCTATTCTATTCTATTTTCTATTCTATCTATCCTGAAGCCCAGAGCTTGCACCTGTTTTTTTTGTTTTTGTTTTTGTTTTTTTTTCCATTGGCGCGCTCCCCCTCTCTGAAACTAGCATCCTCATCTCCACAGTATTTTGTGTCCTGTAGGAGGCCCTACAATGATGGCTGCTTGTGCAGAGCATATAGTTCAGTGACTGACCAACTCCTTGATCGAGTGATTCCCTGATTTTTTTTTTTTTTTTTTTTTTTTTTTGGTGTGGTGGTTTTTACTCTTGGATTGTTCTATGGTCTTCTCACTTCTGCGGATGGTCGGTATCAGGAAAGACTCGAAGCATGTGTCCGTTTGTTTCGTACGAGTTAATGTGTGTAACCCATACTTGCAAGCATTACTTGCAAGCAGATGGACCGGACGAGCGTCCGGTCCGGTCCGCTTTGCCGCGTGCGGCACCGTCCCCCCGGACCGGACGGGGGGCGTTTTTTTTTTGTGTGTGKGKGGGGGGGGGGGGGGGGGSGTAACTGGTCGTCGGGCGCACGTTCGTGCGCCGTGCGGGTCTGGACCGGTGGTCTGCCACACGTGCGGAACCGCCTGGACGGCGTCCGCTTGCAAGTATGTTGTAACCCCTTGAGCTGTTGCAACATGTGTCTGTTATTTGTTTCTTACGAGTTGATTTGTGACCCCTCGAACTGTTCATGTGTGGTGTGTTTTGTTGTGGCAGAAACGAAATGAGAAGAAGACAAAAGGGGAGGAGAAGTACTACTCCGAGAAGTCGTTTGTAGTGGATGCGTAGCCCAGCAAGCTGCACGTGCAATTGTCGGTGATATATTCTGCCCTCCGCATTTGGCCAGCTGACGTGTTTCATTCCCGCATGAAATTTGAGATCTGTGGCCGTGCATTCGTTGTGTGTGAGATATAAAAAGAAGGGCCCCATTCTTCTGCGATTGTGTGAGGTAGAAAAAGAAGGTTCTGTTTCTCTCCGAAACCCTCCCTCCCAAGTCCGTTTACACCCCCTGCCAGCAGAAGATGTGCCCTTTTTTTTCTCTCTCCTCTCCGCTTGCGTAAGCCCATGATTTTAGGGGGCCCCTTGGTAGAGCTTTGGAAGTTTGTACGGTCGTTAGGGATTCCATAGCCTCAATTCGAACTGAATTGATAGGGTGTTGTATTTCGTAGGATGGTATCCATTGGATTCCTCTGTCAGTTTATTGAATTTAATTCATTTCTAATTTAGAGAGATGTGGAGCAAGAGGAGGAGAAAGAGGAAGACCAGGGGAAAAGGGAGGGGGAAGGGGAGGCGGAGTAGAGGGAGTCCACAGATGTTAAGGGAGGAGGTTCAGTTCAGGTCTTTAGAACATCTATCAGATTCGAGCATTCTCTTTGCCCCCCGCTCCTCCCCCCCCCCCCCCACCCCCCCCCTTCTTTTTCTGCCTTTCCCTTTCCGGCTTGTTTCCAGAGTCTGGTGTACTCTTGTACGTGATAGTAGGTCTGTCTTCCCCTTTTTCTGCCTTTCCCTAGGTCTGTATTCACTCTGTAGTTGGATTTGTATCTGTCAGACTGTCACAGTTCGTTTGTTTTACCGTAATTCTTCGAAGGATATCGCTCTTTAAAAAGTCTTTTTGTCTTTCCAGGGATTTTTTCTTGTTGTCGGTTTGTGCGGTCTCTCACGTGTGAACCTTCCATCTCCGGCTTGGATCAGGTGGAGCCATATCCATGGTCAACGGGCCAATGCTCGCACCCACTGACCAAAGAACATTGCTCGCCGCTTTCTTCGAAGGGTATGCGCTCTCGCTATTTGATTGCGAGCAAAATGCTGTTCAAGAACACAGCTGTTTTTTTATTGTCAAGGCTCACTGCAAGGGAGGTGGGGATACCATTCGTACAATGTCAGTCTCTCTGTCCCTGAGCCTGTCCAGCATCCTATCCGGCCTCTATCTCGGAGACTCAGCTGTGTGCTGCAGCTTGCATTTGCACTGAGATGAGAGAGCTCTCATGTCAGAGAGGGACTAGGCTTTGAACCTACTCTTCCCCCCCCCCCCCCTCCCCCCCAAAGCTCTTTTTTTTTTTTTTTCTTTTTCTATTATCCATATTCTTTTCCTCCTTCTTATTCTTCGCGCGAAGGCGTAATTAAGCAAAACAAGGACTGGAAAAGACGTAAGGAATGCTTCGATTCCCTGATATACGGAACCATTCTTGACTTGCACCTCCACCGTCTGGCCAATTAGGCACATGGTCATGAATAAGAACCTGTCGTGCATCGGCC